AAAAAAAAAAAAAAAAAAACGGCTAAGGGGAAGGAGTCAATGGAGAGGGAGAGATCTCAGATGCAAGACCAGAATTCAGCTAACTGAGCAGGTCTCCAATATGGTGTAAGTGAAAGAGCCATAGACAGGTTGTCCTTTCCTTGGAAAGGTGAACAGGTATTTTTCCGAAGCTAGATGAGGAAGAAGAATGAGAGGAAGGTCGTCAAAGATATTATAGATTAGTTTAGGAATAGCGGGAGGGAAATTGAGGGAGTCCAAATCATACACTTCTATTTTTGGTAGTAGTAAGTTAATTATCTACTCAGAATGAAAGTTCAAGAAGTAGGTGAGAAACCCCAGTAGCCACTGAGTTAAACAAGCGAAGTCCATGAGTAAAGATGCCCACCAGAAATAACTCCTTCCTTCTTTTGCCCTGAGAACTAGCCCCTGGCATGAAGAACGAGAGTCTCAAACTGAACTGGATTAGGTACAAAAAGAAGGATCTAGTCAGATCCTTCTCAGCAGTGGCTAAAACAAAGATCTGGGGTAAAGTGGGGTGTCCACAAACTTTATTCAGTTCTGACTCAGAGCAATCCCCCCACTGGATTTAAAAGTGGCCTTATAAGAATGGAAGTTGACTTAGAATTACAGGGGGTAGGACAGTTTAACATCAGTAACATCTAGAATTATGGCCTTATCAAGCACCAAAAATACATTAAGTACCATCAAGGGATAGAAACAAAATATTTCAATTGTCTATAAACTACATTTTAAGTTGTTAAGAGGCAGTCTGAAATTTTTCTGTATGCCCTCAAGAGGGCTTTGCATAGTGCCTAGAGCATAGCATGGGCTCAAACTGTACTTGCTTGAAGTGGAAAAAGCAATTTTGACAGACCCTGCACTTGCCAAATCCCTTGCCTTGCCTTTTAACCTACAAGTGTGGTATGTATTCAAATATGCACATTAATTCTCCTAATTTAATTCTCAAACCCTGCCTGGGGTTGGACCAGATTCTGAGTCTTACACAACCTCTTCTGTGAATTTGGAATAATATATTCACAAGTGGGAGTAGCTTCTAATTTCTGTTTCAACACTATGCAATCACAAAGGAAAAGCCCAGGTCAGGTTCTATTGTCCTAGACTAGGTATATCTGAGTCAGATTTCCTGGGTGCCCAATATTTTTTATTTTAGTATTATAATGAGTTTAGCAAACTTGATCCTATTATTCTTGCTCTTTTTATCATAGAAGAAATATCTGCATAGTATACAAAGTAAAAGTTACTTTATGATAGCCCAAGAGTGTATTACATTAGATTGAGACATAAGATATGAAAATTGAGAAATTTTTATCTCGTATAAAAAGCTTAGGACAGCAAAAACCCAAAAGTCAGGAAAAATGGTTATCTTAAAATTGTCATAAAAAGAATAATGCCAAAAACAATGCCTATCCTAGCTATACTGAATTCATATTAAGAAATGCAAATTTCGTTTTGCTAATAAGAGTGATTATTTTGAATTTAGAATATATATCAACTTGGGGAGAGAAGACACCTATTTTTCCTCTTTAGAACGTGGCCCTTCAAATCTCCATTAACAACTCAGTGGCAAAGATAAAACACCTGCCAAAACACAGATGACAGCATGAGCAAGTGTCCTAATGGCAGGCATTTAGTGTAATGCTTTAACACACTGCCTCTGGACTGCTGAGGAGGCCCCATCAATAAGTACTTTTAAGTAGTCATTTACCTCCTTAAAATGGCAACTTGTGTTTAAAAATAATATGTTCTTTAAGAGAAAAGAAAACATTTTCATTTAAATAAGCCAAATTACTGTTAGACTTAGGCAATGAAATTTTTAAAAAAATTTATTATTCACGCATACTCCTGGTTTTAAAACCTTACTTTGAACAAAGAAAAACCACTCAACCACTAAAAACAAAACAAAAAAACAGTTTATATTACTGTCATCGTTTATTTAAAGACTTGTTTACTCTTTAGTGACTACCACTGAAACTGCTGATACACTTTGAAACAAAGTAAAATTGGACATATGTTGGGGGAAGGAATACAGGAAGTTAAGCAACCTAGTAATTCATTTCGTGTCTTGTAAACCATTAGAGTGGGTTGCAGGTTGCCTGTACCTGGATGAAATGGTTATTTGAAATAACTTTTCTTTTAAAAAATTTTTTTAACCACCAAGGCCACTGGTACTACATGTAGTGGTTGCCATGAAATGGCCCCTGATTACCAGTGCTTAATAAATCAAACCAAAAGCAAAATCAAACTTCAGTACAAATCAATGTGTAGATCCATGGCTGTCATACTCATTCTAGATTCGAAATTCAGTCTCCCAAATCCCTTGGTTTATAATAACTTGTGTTCCGAGACTATTAACATCTATTCATACGTGCCCTTTTGCAGCTACATATTAAACACACACACAAAGCCATTTTTATTTTATGACAAACACTATCACTTCCTGTTTTATAGTTAAACATTGAACAGAACTCAAATACATAAAGCCTGTATTTTTTCTTCTGGGGGGATGGGGGTAAATATTAAGAAAGTGCTACAAAACAGGATAAATTTTGAATTCCATGATTCTGTAGGAATTTGAACACATTAACATTGTGTGTAAATGAGTGCTAATTATATGTGATATTAACTATTACTAAGGAAGGCCTAACAGAAATCCTAACCCCAAAGCACCATTCCAACAGTTCTAACCTACTTGATTTACATCTAACCTACCAGTTTTAAAAAGAGTACATGAATTACACTTTTTACTCTTCAGACTGGCTCTGAATAAGCTGTATTGTATTACACATTTAGATCGGGTTCAATATGAAGACTTCCTGATTACACAACAGCCATCTGAGAGCAGTATTATTTTAGCTATAATGATAGTGATGGCAACAAACATACTAAAGATGATGACAGGAAACACTAACATCAACCATTTAGGTAATAGAGATCTTGATTATTAACATCCTCAACCTCCTAGATGCTCAGGGACAGGAGAAAGTAATGAGCAGGGAACTAAAGGCATCTTGGAAATAGCTGGAAGTCACAAGCTTTTATGAGCGGCACGACGAGGCAACACTCAGTTTAAAACCGAATTCATGTAGAACTCTAGGATAAACGTTAACAACTGCGGTTACCGGGAGCCAACCTCAATTCTCAATCTTACAAAAAGTTCACAAAAGGCGCTATAGATGCGAATGACAGGCACTGTAGAGCCACGGACACTTCTATTTCTTGCTCAGCTTTTTACAGACGAAGCACACTTTTTTTTTT